TGCGCGATATAAAGGACCCTCTTCACCCATATAAGGAGGTCAGAATTGGTATTGCATGGTCAAGCTGTACATTCCTAAAGGTAACTATGCATTACTTAGGGCACTGGGTACAATACACTTTGCCGACAGTATCAAAAGAAACATATGGCGTGAAAACTGACCGATACCTTAAGTTGAAAAAACCTTGATCTGATAAGATCRGCTTTTCTTTTTAAGCCATTAGTACAAAGGCAAATGGATAGACCTTGAGAAATCTTTTGTCTTTTGTCTATGACTAATTATCTCTAACTCTACACATATTAACAAGGAAAAACAGATTCACATCAGACTGATACGCGTGTTCACTTAAGTGAAACTTCTAGAGTTAGGTCCTGTCATGAATTGGGTAATATATTGCGATATAAGTTATGACATATCRGTGCTCCGTGCGTGTTTGAGGTGCCTCCACTGTCGAGAAGCCAATCGAGCGATGTACACGCCACAAGTCTATAAGTGGCTATTTAAGATATGCATGAAAACCCAGACCAATTGACAAGCGACCTATTATTTACGCGACTGACATCTTGTTACAGATTCCCTGTGAACATGCTAGGTAAAGTTTGGGAAACTTTTTCAACTTGATGAGGCATTGTTACCTYTTTTGAARCTCGARGAAAAGGRTCAAAGGAGCTGTKTTTTGCCTTCTTAAMACGTAAGTTTATAAAATTATTCGTCTAACATAAATTCATGAGTTGTTCTATAGAAATGTCGTATGCCTACAAAAGAGTGTAATATATCGTTTATRGTTATACAAGGCGAACTTGATGCCATATATACAATGCTCAATTACACAAGACAAGTCTTGAATGGCTCTAAAACTGTTCTTACGCATTCTAATTTAWATTCAATTATTAGAACACACGTACGCTTTCAATAGTCGTTTGTTAACATTAGATAGAAAATTAGTAAATGAYTTTACCACAAACTAGTAATGAACACTGCTAACAAGACACTCCTAATCCTGGCTACAGTTTGAGTCTATRAAGTCCTTAGTACGGTGATTGTTTTCCTTCTAACACCAAGTTATTTGATTTCCAATATGTATTCGCATATTTGATGATGGCTCCCTGTCAATCTATTTGTATTGWGAAGGAAAACAACTGTAAAAAAAGAACAATCGAAGATTCGGGAAAGTCTGAATTCTCGTGGACCGGCGTTTGGCTTTGTAAAGTAGGAAATTATAGAATCTTGAAGATAATACCTTATTATTTGAACCAGCATGGCCAACGTGTTTAAGTCTTAACGAGTACTGTAGGAAAGCTCACTTGATCTCTCTAGCCATGTTTYCATGGTTTGTCGGTCATGGTGAACGAMCATAGGATGCCGATATGGATATGTTTCTGATCTTGTCGCTGAACTTCTATTGAGAAAAGTTTTCGAAACTTTKTTCGAGTCATTAAAGTTTTAGTATWRCATAAACATATGAACTTTATTCCAACATAGTATAACTAACAAAGCAAGAGTACAATGTACAAATTTATACTAAAAAAAATCATAATTTTGTATTGCTCAATATGACAGTAGTTATGYAATTATATTAGTACTACAGGACCTAGAGGCAATTCAATTTTTTTATACTATTTATATATTTGTAATTGGATTTTCTTATTTAATCATTGAACCCAATAGACATTTTGTACGCGACTGCTTTGTACGACAATGACGAAGTTATATCCTTTTTATCAGGGAAACTCATCTTAAACTTCATTCCTGGAGCTGGTTCATACTAAATAATTATAATAATAAGCATATAGGAGTAAAAAATAATAGATTTAGGGATTCGTAAGGTGAAGGCTAGGGTGATAAAAAAGGATTTGTTCTTGTTTGTYTTGAATTAACTTATGTTTTAAAGTTTTTCTAGTGGTTATGCTTATGATAATGACTTATGCTTCTGTCTTAGTGAGAACAGTCTCCAATGATATGAAAGGTCAAATTAACACGTTTGATTATTTTTTTTACCATGATCAGCGCAATATGGCATACCTCCAGGTATATATTTTTCTGAAAAACAACCATAAAAATTTTAAAACATTTCCACGGATTTTCCAGTTCCGCATTGGAACTTGCTAAGCATTTCACAGCTTTTAAGTACGTGTATACCTTGATATTCCAGTGATCATTTTGCTAAGGTTGATAAAATTAAGCGAATCAGCAGCGGCCATTTTGAAGATAGGTGTACTAGTATTGACATTAAARATCATTGTGGAAAAATTGAAAATAGGATGAGAGAAAATGACATGTACAACATTGAAAATGTTTTCCACTAATCCAAGCTTCATTTCATCTGTTATYAAGAAAACTATGGCATTCTTTCATTATATCATATAACTATCTATGAAATATCCTCTATTTTTCCATTCCGTAAACTTTGCTATTTTCACTAGGGTGAAAATAACACATTCGAGATTTTTCTATATAGTGGAAGTAAGAAAAAACTTATTTTACGACATAATTTGCTTTAATATGTTATTGTATGATAAACAGAATGTTACATGGTCGCTTGGATATACGAATTTTATCTTTTTGTGTTGAAAATCTCTCAGAGATCTTTTGAACACTTGGAGATAAAATCCGTATCTCCGCGTGCCCATGTGATATCCTCTATATATCAACTGTGTACTTGTACGATCCCAAGCATGTCAATAACGCCATTATATTGCTTTTGRTCTTTATTCATGCACATTAAAACCTTATGCTGAATATAAGAATAATGATAAACAATTAATTTAGTGATTAAAAGAGATCCGATACGAATTTTGCAACCTTTAAAAACTATCCAAAATTCAATGGTTTTAGACATTGATACTTCTATCAGGAATCTTTGTATTTTGAATGTGATTCTACCCTAAACATCCAATATTTGCGAAGTTATAATAGACGGCTCGAACTGATTGCACTTAAAGACACTCGCCTAACTTTGGTATTTTCCATTTTTAAACTTGTGATACTATTCACAAATCTAGCGTTTTATAAAAAAACTTTTACACCTTATAACTGAAGATCAGAGACGATTGAATTTATGCGATGGCCTTAAAGAGAACAACACATATGATCAGTACTAGTGATTGTGATTGTGATTGTGTATGCTAGAGATTGGCAGAGTAAACTTATATTATATACAAATATGACTATGCCTAGAGAATATGGTGTATTTTACCCAATCCGACAACGTAYTTAGGTAATATGTAAATTTGGGTCGGAATATTGGTCTTCGGTCTATAAAAGCCTTTTTGTAAAATGCTGTGCYAATAATTGATGCCRAACAAKGGTTWWATTATAGAGATTTGGTTTACAGAAAGAAAATATGTTCCCAAATTCAAAAATCTTATTTTATCGACGATTAAACAAACTCACCAGGGGGTAATATAATAAATTTTGTTTGYATTAAAATGCATTTCACAATCTCCTCCCCATCGCATGCCTTCAGTTMGTTCAAACAGAGCCGCGAGCATTTMGAAATCATTCCAAACTATTTGATACTTATAAGCACAGAGGGTGGGAGTGTTCTTCTTTTATTAATGCACTCAGTTAATTACAGTGAGATATGAAAATGAATTATTAGCAAGAATCGCTGTATCTCAATTTCGAGTTCACTAACGGAAACGTAACGAGTCTATGATACTTRCGCAAGCGTTAACRTAAACATCCGATATTTAACAATTATTCRCCGAGGGCGAAGTGATTATCAATGAATATTTACCGAGCGGCGATTCCGAGAATCAATAAGATTCGGATATTATCAATATTCTAATATTCCGAGATAAGCCAGGCAATGAGAGCGCGCGTTCTTATGAGGTTGTGAATCATTCTATATATTAAAATGTATTACAAACTTACTCAATCTTGAGGGATTGCTTGAAATCAAGAAATTATAGGCTTCATTTACTAAAGCTTTACAGATCATTATGGTAGCAAAGTTTTTTTTTCGTCATAGTTCTTCATCAGCTGAGGAGTCARGGATGAGTCGATGTCGAATGCTAAATATTGAATGTTGAAAGTCGAATTCTGAATATCGAAAGCAGAATATCTTTGTTGAATATCGAAAGCTGAATGTCGAATGCTATATATCGAATGTCGAAGGTCGAATTCCGAATATCGAGTGCTGGATATCGATTGTTGAATATCGAAAGTTGAATGTCGAATGCTGAAGGTCGAATACTGACAGTATACCCTTTGAAAGCGCATTTTTCCGAAAAATGGGCCATTTTTCATCGCATAAATCTTCAAGTGCATGTGCTGCCCTTAAGTAACATTAAGTAACAGCTTCAGTTCATTAACATTTTCTTTATACTATTTAGGAGGTCTGCCTTATTTCGGTTTAATTGATCTGGTTGCGTGCAGACAAATTGAAGCRAGAAGTCTGAACCCATCAGGTTGACAGTGTCTGCAGACATTGAGGTAACGTACGTTTAGATTGCTATTAGTTTTATCGAGGAAAATGTAGAATGCATGAACGGAACATAACGTGGGTACTCGGGTACTGACTAGGAATTTACTCGTCTTCTGTGGAACTCGAGTAAGACAAACAAACTATCACGAAAGATCTTAATTATTTAATTAAAACAACAGTCTTGATTGACTTTGATGTTTAAGGGTTGACTTGCCGCAAGTAAAAAAAAAATAGATAGTAACCGTTTCGGTCTCAAAGAATAAACACAACTACAAGACACACATATCCATAATCTGTACATAATTGGTTATATGGTTATTGCACAATATCCATTTACAAMTGAAGGAAAAATTGATCARTTGTTCTAGAATCCTTCATCGCGAATTCCAAATCTCTGAAGTTGTATGTTATCASGCCGCGCCCAAGAAGTCGCGGATTATCGCTTTTCGATAAAAAAATCGAGATAACTTTTGTATCTCTCTTATCCAGGAGTATTTTTTATATACGACTAAGTACTGATAACAGAATGCTTAGAAAGCAGAACAAAATATTCTGTTGCTTTAATCGTAACGTTATCAGTACCTTAAGGATTAAATATGCGGTAGGGACGTTTTAGTCACTTTTACTTAATTGAAAGCAGGCGCTTTGTTGAATTGCAAAAAGCTAAAGTCCAAGTTACACACTGAATATATTAGAAAAAAGAGCGTCGATCGTCGTTTTAAGACAAGTGCACATTTAGTTACATTGTTTTACATTAAGATGAATACAATTCTAATTGATCCAAAATCGAATCGTTGCGCAAAGGAGACTAAAAAAGAACTAYAAAATGCATCATATAGCGTACTGTAATGTGTTTTTCAAGATTTCTAGCATTTAAACATCAACTGAATGGCGGTGATTTTTTTTATCGACAAGGCAAGGTTAAGTTGTTTATTTTAAAAGTTTTTATTSGGGTCCATTAATTTCTTATTTGTCAATCCATGTCAAGTCAAGTCAGCAGTTATAGAACAGAGACAGTCAGTCACGCTATTAGGTTTTAACCGGATACGATAATTTTGCTTGGAACTATTTCTGAATATTGCTCGCGATACCATTAGTTCATGATAATATTAATTCATTGGAAGCAATATTGTACTAATTAYGTCTCTTCAACATTCAATTATCAAATAAAAAGAACTGTTTTTCAACAAATTATCTTAGATATACAAATCGTTTTGACCAATTATAACTTCCAATAACCCGTGTGTAGTGTGCCCAGAAAGGGCTTTTGAGTGCGCAAACTTAATATTTGTCTATCGGTACTCAATTTGCTAGTCTATAGGTAAGCGATTGTGGCATACTGTAAGYCCAACAAAATTATAACTATTGATTCAATATAGACATTCATAAAATCGTGAAGTGAGTGTAAAAAAGCCGACAATGACATTTTGACGTCATTATATAAAACCGTGCAATATCGAAAAACAGGCGGGCAGTAAATTCATCTATATTATAAAACCATCTATATATGCCCAGAAAAGTTCTTAAAATAGAACAAACAATTTAGAATGATATAGAATAATTAAAAGATGCAAAGGCCATGTACATATCTTGRTAATCGACAAAGCTAAGCCAATATTCTGCCTATATATGCGGCCCTGTCAAATTTTGAATAGTTACATGCAATCAATCCATTTTTGTTYCCATAAATGGCTATGCCCGGATCATTTTTATTCAAAAAATGTCCTTAGCTTCACTGGTTTAGAAAATACCCTAGCTCAGCGTTGACATACAGATATGCGAGTAACTGGACAATGTATCAGACGCATAAAAAAKGTTTTCAAAGGTGAAAACCARTCTAGTAAACACTGATGAAAGTTTTTGATAACTTCTGAAGAGTTAGTGTCAAGAAGCGACTAATCTTGCTATTCATACATATTAAACCAACAAAACGAACGTGACTTGAGGTGAGCACAAACTTATACTATTTTTACAGCATCAACTGCGCAATATAACAAGAGTATAACATACTGAAAACCATTTAAAAATATGAAAACTATCGACCAAACCGAGATAAAGTTTTAGATACTGAACTTGTGAAGAGTTCAATGACAAGAAGTGACTGGACTGGCTYAAAATATTTCAAATCGACTATCATTAAGGCTAGAATGTGACTTATCCGAGCATTACTGTAAGCTGCAGTTTGAAAAACGTTTGTGAAATCGTCTTCACGTGGGCGTACAAAGTGATCAAAAGCGATCAAAACTGATTCCGCATTCGGCTATTGGTTGACAATAGGAAAAGCTGCCGAAAATATCCAAGCATTTTGATCAGGTAACTCGCTAGCGGTGTTGTAAATCGGGTAATCATATATAATACCTCGGAAATAAGCATTTTTTGCAGTTTTTTGGTGACTTCTTTTGGATTTTTGACGAACATTTTGTGTCTTGTTGACGCTGTTAAGACTGAAAGTCAAATTGATCTCTAGTGATAACTTTGAATGGTGTTTTAGTAACATATGTTTATCGAAATGTCTTCATGACAAAACTAGGTGTCTAGATCATAGCACTCTTAATAAGATACCCAAAGACCTGAATATATAAATCTAATGCATATACAARTCCAATGGCTCTTTCTGCAAAATGGCCGCCACACAATAGCATTTTCTTTTTTTTTTCTTTTCAACTTGAGACAAAATGACCCCTGCAATATTTATRTATACGATTCTCTTAGAAGCTGCATTTAAGCCTAGCTAGATGTAACGTTTCTAAATCTGGGCTTATGTTACAGAGAAAGGCCTTGAGTAAATGCTCTTTAYAGACATCCCTAAAGATTTTTATTGTAACTTTTYCACATCTTTTGAATAAACCACATAYTTTAGAATTTTAGGGGTCACTTAGCCCTTATTTACWTTKAAAAAAATGGCGGCCATTGCAAAAACATWTTTGTTATGTTGTTTCCAACATTGTTTRCAAAACTGGGGCTTTATGAGCCTGTTTCATGCGTTAAAATCAATGTAAMMGTGAAGAATTAACTAATATGTAAGATTTGGCATTTAAGTATGGTTCAAAACAAGAATATTTTCATTTTTGAAATCCAACTTCCATGTATTATTGGTGACCATATCAGGCAAGTTTTAACGTTTAATCAACGTTTAATCGATTCCGAAATATCAAGCAAAGATAAGTCAGCTGAATATTTTTCRCATTTTCTAATTACAAACATTTGATATGACTTCCCTGACGTTTTTATTTTGTCTAGATATCACAGCCGAAAAGATAACAAGTATTCCTAATT